CTGGATATAAGGGCCGAGGTCTAGGGAGCATGGAGGAATGACTCTGAGGTTCCTGTTTTAACTATTTGGTCCTTCACTTTGTCATTGACCATTGTCTGTGGTCCCAGGCACTTACTATTTTTCTTTCTTCATGTTTCTGCTTCATCCTGAAGGAAAAACTACATATCACTTCAAAACTAACGATGCAAAGAGCCCCTCAGCATTATCTCAGCAAATCTCCCCAAATCTAATTTTAATATGTAATATTCCCAAGTCATTTCTGTTTATAATTTCTAGTATAATTTATTTTATTGGAATGAGAACATAGTGGTAAAAGATCTTTAGTTACAAATATTTAAAGCCAACCTAAACCAACTTTAACATAAAAGAGATTTTATTATAAGAACGTAAGAGTGTCTCATAGAAGGAAATGCAGAAACACTACCAAGACTTAGGAATTCTACCAAGGGCTAGAATCCCTCAGGGATTTCTCTCCATTCTCTGCCTGTTCTTCTCTGTAAAATGGCTTCAGTTTTTCATCTTGGAAATGTGGCCTATGTCAGTCTGCACTCCACAGACAGCTCTGTAACAGCTCCTGTGTTTATCTGCTCTGGGTTTAGCCACAAACCCGACCCTCAGTCCCTCAGGGTCTCAATTCCAGACCTCAAGGATGGGAACTTGGCCCTGCTCCGGTCAGGTATTTGACCCTGGACAAGTGAACTCTGGCTGGGGTGGGTGTGAGAGTTCAGGGAAGAAACAGCCAGCAGCAATTCTGAGTTCCCAGAGAAGGGAGAATTGTTATGATCTTGGCAGACACCCCATATGGAGAAGGAGGGAAACAATAGCTCTTTTGCTTCAATAAACATGTGCTAAGCACTAACCACGTTCCAGGGCCCCGCTAGGCTTGTGGATATAATAATAAATGCATCCAATTCTGCCTTCCAAGAGTATAACATCCAGCACTGCCTGGGAACACCTCTGTATGTGCTCACTTACCTATAGCACATACCTAAAAACTCACGGTCTGTGGCACAGAAACAACATGTAAGATATTCGTACTGTGCAGTCAACATTTAGCTCTCTTCTTGGACCATGCCAAGACACTGGCAGACAAAAGGGCAAAGGTCCAAAGTTTTATTCCCAGTCATTGTCACATGCTAACAAATGAGCAGGACGAAATGTATAATGCAGATGACTGGTACTTCCATCTACTGTCCTTCATCCATCTTCAAGGTGAAAAGGTTATCTGTCCATAGATAACTAGAAAACAATGTTAATTGCAGACTATAACACGTCAATCAAGTGGCGATATGGGCCCAGACCACAAGAGTAGTGAGCACAACAGATTCTGAGTCAAAACCCTGGATTCTGGTCACACTAGTTGTGTGACATTAGGAGTCATGGGCCTCTGAGCCTCACCTGTAAAGTGAGGGGAAGTAGTCATTAAAAGAAATAAGAATATGAAGGTATAAAGTAAAGCACCGAGAAGGCAGTCCACACTGAAGTGTCGGTTATGAGCAAAAGTAAGGACGCAGGGACCCATAAGAACTGCTGAGAGGTTGGGAGGCTGAGGTTGGTGTGGTCAGAGATAAGGCTGAAAACTCAGACAGGAGCCTGCTGCTGAGGACTTAGAAGGAACAAAAGGACTAGATAAAAACAGGGCAGGCAGTAAAGACTCCTCCCGGACCTATGGCTTGATTACCAGACGGATAACTTATAAGCTATAACCTTCCAATTTCCCCCAAAGTGTGACATACCTCTCTTTGTAGATTTAGCTGTGCTTAATCTTTCCTTTTCAAACGAAGTGGAAGAAAGCTATCTAGTTCTTAGAAAATGTTTCGCCTACAGAAAGAAAAGTTAGTATTATTTCCTTCCACTGCCTTATCTAGCACAATTTCCCTTCCATCCCATGCCTCTCAAACCTTTATTTTATGTTTCCCTTTTATGATAAGTTTAAAGACAGGAGAGCTGCCTCTCTAGAAAGCTTCATCTTCTCTTCAATTTCTCATATTTTTTTCCCCTCTACCAGATTTTATTTTTGCATTTTCAGATTTCACTAAATCTCCATTCATTTGCATGAGGATTGCTGTCTATTTAAAATGGCATAGGCATTTTTAGCCTATATAAGCTAGAGGCATGCTAAATGGATAGTATTATATTTGAGCTTCCCATTGCTGTCTCAGTATGACCCCAAAGGCAGAGCAGGTGCTATTAAGCTATTTTTAATTTAATAAGAAATTAAAACCTTATAGGAAAAAAACCCCACTTTTTACTTTCAGAAGTTATTCCTCTTTTATTTCAGACAAGCATTTTCAATAGTGGTGATATTGAACCAAGAGGGCAAAAAGTCTTAGATAGCATCATGGTTTATGACTTTCCAAACCTAACCCTATCTGACTACATAAATTGATATCTGGCATACCTATGGTGTTAAAATTTCATGGTGGGAAGAAGTACTTAAGGGAAAAAAATGTCTAAAAAGGCATTTTTAGTGGGGAAATAATAAAATAAAAATGGTTGAGGAAAACAATTTAGAACTAACCAATACTTACACAGCACATTCGTTTATATAAGAGTTAAATACAGTCTTTCATTTGATCTCCACAAAAACCAGGTGAATTGGGTACAATTAACCTCTTTTCCAGACATGCAAATTGATGATCAGAGAGGTTACTTTTTAACTGTGTGACTTTAGTGGCAAATGCTCCCCATCCATCCATGACAGTCCAGCATAGCCATTCCTTTATAGCAGGGTTTCTCAACCTCAGCACCACTGATGTTTAGGGCAAGGTGATTCTGTTGTGGGTGTGGGGGTGGGGGGAGTGCTGTTCTCTGCATTGTGGGGTGTCGAGCAGCATTCCTGACCTCTACCCAGCAGTGCTTCTCCCCAGTTGAGAAACCAAAACTGTCTGCAGACATTGCCAAATGTCCCTGGGGAACTGGGGTGGGGGTGGGGGGAGGTCACTCCTGGTTGAGAATCACTGATTTAAAGCCTACCTCTACTGTTTTTATAGTGTCATAATAGCTAACAGTGCCTGAGCACTTACTATCTACCAGGCACTTTCTATGTACCGACTCATTTAAACCTCTCAACAACCCTATGGGGTTAATTCTAGCCTCATGTCCACTGCAGAAATAAGGAAGCATAGTCCGGAAAGATTGCAGTGAATAAACTGGAAAGCTGGAGATATAGATGCTATTGCATTTATATCACAAAGAAGTGCTTGGATTATTGACCCAAATATAACCATTTTGTCCACACAAAATAATTTACATCATGATTATGTCTAGAATGCTGACTTTGCATTTAAACCCACATCTGAGCACTGAACCACCATGCTCTACTGTCTGTCTCAGAACCAAAATGCCCTCCAGCTATTCTCCTAAATTCTGTATCACTTCCCCAGTGTTATCCCATTTTACATACAGATGCCAGTTTCCTGTAGATGTTGCTTTTTAATCTATTGATTCATTTACTCTTAATAAGCACAAAGTGAAATTCTAGTAAAAAGATGTCCAATATAAGAATGTACATGCTAAAAAATGAATTTGTAAAATATAACTATACTAGAGGCCTGGTGCATGAATTCGTGCACTGGTGGGGTCCAGCCAGCCTGCCCCAATGGGGGCCGATTGGGAGAGGGGCCCACCATGGCGAGGGGCCTTGGGCTATTTGCGGTCCGGCCCCACCCCCATCACGGGGGGCGGGGGGGCGCTCAGGGGCATGGCCAGCCGATGGGAGGAGCCGTGGCATTCCAGTCATTTTGCCATTTGGTCAATTTGCATATTACCCTTTTATTATATAGGATGCTTAGTATGATCCCATTGTTGTAAAAGGTTATGTATATTGCAGTCATATTCACACACACACACACACACACACACACACACACACACTGGAAATGCAGGACTTATCTATGGAAAGTAAGATAATGAACATTTCTAATATTTGCCCTTTTGCTTACCTATATTTTCAACCTTTTCTACAATAAGTTCCTTTAAAAATTGCCCAAATAATGATTTTTTTTAAAAGATGATTTGATCAGTTAGCTGAAAAAAGATAGTGTTTAAGAAGTAGGGGGGGGGGAAGCATTATGTCACACAAGGCCCCTAAATTCAAATTGCTTACACACTAACAGATGAGGAATAGCAATGGGTCTCAAAACTCTAATCTATATATATATATATATATATATATATAAAACCCTAACATGCAAATAGGCCAAACAGTGGAACAGCCGAGCAACTGAACAACCAATCACTATGACAAGTGCTGACCACCAGGGGGCATGTGCAGAACATGGTGGGTGTCAGCTGCGGTGAGATGGTGGACAGGTGATCAGGGGCACCAGACCAAGACAGGATGCCGATCGCTGTCATTGGGACAAGGCTCTGGAGGTTACTGAATATTCTTTGCTTCCTTGTACCCCGGTCCCGCCTGGCACTTGCACCTGCTGCTAGCGCCGGCCCTGCTCGCACCCGCTACTGGTGCCCGGTGCTGGCCCTGATTGCTTGGCACTGTCAGCAGGTGCAAGCAGCAACTGCCGGCCCCAATCACCTGTGAGGGCTTCTCCACCTCCCTCTGCTCCTGAGGGGTGATTGTGGCAGCAGCTGCCTCTTGTACCTGCTGCTGACACTGGAGCAGGGCTGCTGGCAGATAGGGGACCAGGGGCCAAGGCATCAGGTGGGAGCACGGAGGAAGGGCCGAGACCTGCCCCTGTGCCCACTGCAGTCTTATGGCCCACAGTTCCTTTCAAGGTGCACGAATTTGTGCACTGGGCCCCTAGTTCCCTAATAAGACTGAATAATAACCATTGCCAATTTTTTCAAGGATAATTAAATTTAGAGAAATGCTAAAGTCCTTGATTTTACACTCTCTTTAAATCTTGGATACCTGCCTCTGCTTGTAAGATTTAAAAAAAAAAAAAGACAAAATATGAACAAATGAATATCAAATAAATATTTGGGCCAAAATTTAGATACCTGAGTAACTTAAAGTACTTTAAATTATTTTGTGAGCTCTTCCCATTTGACTACCACATTTTGTCCTAATAATAGATTTTAGTGGCTATGCTTATGGGATAGATTAAAATTGCCATGATATGAAGAGGGAGGATTTATTTGTGTCCTCCTCCTCCTATATGAAATGGCTGAACAGAAAAAAAAGAAATGTTGTGAGCTAGGCAGTCACGCAATCATCACTTCCTGTTTGGGTGACAGAGTGACACATGAGTACTGAATGACTTCCATATACTCTGGCGGATGAACAAGGTTGAACCAGATTGAGTTTCTGGGTGGGCCCTGACTCCCCTTTACAGGCTCCCTCATCTGGCATGTTGTGGGGAGCCCATGATGTTATCTATGGGCTTAATAATTAATGGGTGAATACAATGGAAAGTGTTAAAAGTGTAAGAAGAATAAGGAAATTATTCAGGAGAATTCAGAGGACAGACACCAGGCTGAGTTGGTGAATCACACTGGCTAGTTGTTCATCAATTTCCCTTTTTTCTCCTGGGCACACAAAGGGAAACCTTTGACAGCAGGCCTTGCAGGTAGGGGTGGAAATATGATTGATTTACAGCCAAGGGAATTCGAGCAGAAGGTAGGAAACCCGTTCTAGACCAGACCCATAAAAACCACCAGCGGAGGGGGAGAATGCTGAGGATCTGGAAGTAGGTAGAGACACAAGTTGGAAGAAGCCCGAGTCCTTGAAACAGTGCCTGAGAGAAAACTGCCCAACTGGGAACACGACATTAGAATGTTTATGAACCAGAGAAAAATGTATTATGTTCCATTTTTTAGGGAGCTGTTTGTTAGGTCAGTTAGCTACCCTAATATACTTGGTTCAATCTGAAATCATCCAAGTTCTTAGAACCAACCACGACACTAGAAGCTTTGTCAGATAAGCTGCTTCATAAAATCCCTGATGAATGCTGCCATCAATCTCGTTAGCCCCTAGAGACAACAGCAGCACCTCTATTAGGAAAGAGGTAGGTTTGTGAATAAAACACCTAAGGTCACATGTGAACTAAGACATGTGGAATAAGAAAATGCCCTTGAACTAAGTGTACTCAAAAAGGCCTGTCTTCATTTCCAGGTGCCTTTCAATACCACAAACAAAGGACATGCCTGTTTTCACCATGGGCAGGAGATAAAAATGAGCATCTGAAAAGATGGCAAGAACAAAAACTTGTCTGTGGAAAAAATAGGGACAGTGGTTACTCCGCAGACCCAGGGTATTAATCTTGGGTCCTACCCTGCCCCATCCTATGCCATCCAATTTGCAATAAAGGTTATTGAACACCCACTATGTGTGAGTCACTGTGCTTGTCACTGGAGATACACGATGAAGGAGGCCGCTGCTGTACTCAGGAAACACCCCCCTCGGGAGACAAGTGTGTACATAATCAATTCTATAGTGTAGAATAGCTAGTTCTAGTCTATTCAAATAGGGTATAGTGGGAACACTGAAGAGCAAATGTGGACCTCTACCTGGGGTGATTTCACACGGGCAGTGATGCTTAAATATCCCAAGTCCACCCTTGAAGTGGCAGCTTCTTTGATTTTTCTCCAGTTATACATAAATGAACATCTTTGAGTGAACACTAGCTAATTATCCACATATAAAAATAACAAAAAAATTGGGGACCCCATTATCATCAAGAATTTCAGCACATACCACCTATTTGTACGTATTAGTAGTCAACATCTGCTGATGCTTTATAAATATTAGAAAAATATAACAATGATGCAATATTAAATTTAAAATAAAAAGCAATTTAAAATAAAAATATATTTGCCCCTGTAGTCAACAAATGTCTTAGAGGTTACACACTGAGACTATGCAAATCCCTTTGCTCTCAAACCTTCGCTCAGTGTTTCTAGAGTCCATTGGCCGGCCCATCCACAATAATAATTACTGTGGGGCTGCATAAGGACACATTTTCTAGGTGCTTTATTCTTTTCACATTTATTATTTGTAATTCTACTGTAAAACAGAGCTGTCACTTCTCCATATATAGTTCCTCATTATTCATAGATTACATATTTAAGAATTTCTTGGTAAAGTTTATTTGTAACCCCAGAGTCAACACTCAAGGCACATTCTCGGTCATTGGACATGCGCAGCAGTGAGAAATGTGAGCCCCCCGAGCAGACATTCCCACTGGGCCACGCCGGCGACCCTCTGCCTTATCTCAGCTCTCACACTGTCAACAACTGTCCTTTTCTCAATCTATTTAGTGCCACATTTTTGTGCTTTTTATTGGTCATTTCACTGTTTGAAATGTACCCCAAGCACAGTGCTGTCTAGGGTACCTGAGCACAGGAAGGCTGAGATGTATCTTACAGAGAAAATACCTGTTACGTAAGCTTCATTCAGGCATGAGTTGTAGTGCTGTAGGCTAAGTTCCATGCTAACAAATCAACAAACGATATTAAGTAAAGTGTCTTTAAACAGAAACGCAAATAAAACCAGGTTATGTATGGATCAACTGATGAGAAGGTTTTTACCAGAGGCTTGTAAAACCTAAACCTGTAATTTCTCTAGGAGCAGTGGATCAGTATTAGCAGGTTCAGTGTTTAAACACAGTGACTTTACAGAACATAACTATTGTGAAAGCAAGAATTGACCACATCTATTTTACCAATTACTTATTTATATCACTATGAACTCATGTATATGTATATTATTTTACAGGTTACCATCTAATACTATCATTATCTATTTTCTTGCCCAAATTGTTTCATCTTTGGCCATTGGGGTGATAACATTATAGTGGAACTGTCTGGTGGTCACCATCTCGACCAAGTGATCAAGACCAGCATCACCAATAATCATACGGGCATCCTGAAGGCTGGCTTTGATGGACTGAGAAGGCTGAGGATGTCCTGTGGCGCTCTGGATGACTTCAGTCCAATCACGAGAAGATGCCAGACAGACCTGAATTGAGTGATATCCAGCAAAATTACTGATCAATACTCTTTGGGGGTGTCAAGGTCACAAAAGAAAAGGAAAGACTGAAAAATTCTAAGAGACGAGAGAGAAATAACAACCAAATGCAGGAATCCTAAATTGGGTTTTAGGAACAGCAGCAGCAGAAAAGACATTAGTTGGACACTTCAAACTAGAGATCAACTGGAGCAGGGGTTCTCCGCCTCCCTAACGCCGCGGCCCTTTAACACAGCTCCTCATGTGGTGGTGACCCCCAACCATACAATTATTTTCGTTGCTACTTCATAACTGTAATTTTGCTACTGTTATGAATCGTAATGTAAATATCTGATATGCTATATGTGTTTTCCGATGGTCGCGACCCACAGGTTGAGAACCGCTGATGGAGTCTTTAGTTTAGTTCATGGTATTATACTAATGTTAATTTTCTGGTTGTGATAACGATACTACAACATGTAAAATGCTAAATCCCGGCATGCTAGGACATGGACACTTTGAAACTCTCTGTACTATTCTTGTAATTTTTCTGTACCCCTAAAAATGGTTCAAATTTTTGACCATTGGATGGTATTGCATAGCCCTGGTTGTAGAAGTTGTGGAAGAGCAGGGAGAAACTCTATTTCACAGACTATGGGTATCAGGAAGTGTTTAATTTTCCAGACAGTTTCACTCTGGTAGAGTATTAATTTTTCAGGTAGTTTTCCTAAATCCAAAAACCTTTGGGGGAATAGCAGAGAAAATAAATGCCTTCTACTTTAAGGTACTACAGAAGATGTGGTTGTTCCTAAGCAGGAACCTTCACTTCCAGCTGTTGAACTTAGGCAAGCCATAAACTCAGTTTCCCCATCCATCCATAAAAATGAAGGGGCTCAAATGAATAATTATACATTACACTATATATATATATATATATATATATATATATATATATATATATATATATGTATATAATAGTATTATTCTAAATTAACCTTATTATTTAGCATTTGAAATCAGGTAGTTCAAGAATACCCTTTAGGATGTTTATTCTGCTTTCTTAATAAGCAGTAGTGTTGCCATTTCACAGGAATTCCAGAAATTAAGTAACAGTTTGAAGAAACTCTGCAGCAGTGCCCCCTGAAGCTCATCTATAAAACACACTTTATATGCTCACAAACAGTATGAATATATCTAAAGAATCAAGAAAAATGCAGCCCTTTAAAATGTATAAGTCACCTACCTATCATGTGGGAAAGCAGATTGTAAATGTGCAGCCGTATAATGATTTCAGATAACATTTTCCCACACAAATATTTTTAGATGGAGATAAAGTAGAATTTCTACTCTGGCTGTGGTCGGCAAACCACGGCTCGCGAGCCATATGCGGCTCTTTGGCCCCTTGAGTGTGGGTTTTCCACAAAATACCGCCACACTCAAGGGGCCAAAGAGCCGCATGTGGATTGTGAGCTGCGGTTTGCCGAGCTGCAAGTTTGCCGATCACTGTTAGAGTATTTCTTTTAGAAGACAGAAATCATCAATAGAAGAAAATGCTCATTATAAACTGATAAAATGCAACATTAAGAACAAAAAATACCACTATGGAAGACAGTATGGAGTTTCCTTAAAAAAATATAAATGGAACTCCCATTTGACCCTGTGATCCCACTTCTAGGAATATATCCCAAGAAACCAGAAACACCAATCAGAAAGGACATATGCACCCCTATGTTCATAGCAGCACAATTCACCATAGCTAAGATCTGGAAACAGCCTAAGTGCCCATCAGCAGATGAATGGATTAGAAAACTGTGGTACATCTACATGATGGAATACTATGCTGCTGTAAAAAAGAAGGAACTCTTACCATTTGCAATGGCATGGATGGAACTGGAGAGCATTATGCTAAGTGAAATAAGCCAGTCAATGAAGGAAAAATACCACATGATCTCACTCATTCATGGATAATAGAGACCATTATAAACTTTTGAACAATAATAGATACAGAGGCAGAGCTGCCTCAAACAGATTGTCAAACTGCAGCGGGAAGGCCGGAGAGGGTTGGGGGGCAGGAGGTAGGGGGGCAAGAGATCAACCGAAGGACTTGTATGCATGCATATAAGCATAACTAATGGACATAAGACACTGGGGGGTAGGGGAGGCCAGGGGATTGTCAAGGGCGGGGAGGGGGAAAAAAAGTACACATATGTAATACCCTTTGTAATACTTTAAGC